CCACATTAATGCAATCACTCAAAAAATTTTCACCAGAAAGCATTCGCGCTATTGCTCGAAACCCAAATATAGACTTACAATCAATAGGAATCTATTCAAAATCAGATATTCAACATCACATTAGAACACAACAATTCCAAGAATTATTAACCAAAATGGACACTATACAAAGACAATCAATAGACCAAAATTTACGCAAACTTGCAGAAACCGCAGGATTTGCCGATATCTACACGCAAGACTATAGCGGATATTTTAAAGACATTAAAGATTATATATATCTAAACGGCGAAAAATAGCGTCCCCAAGATATATCACCAATCAACATTTTTAGCTTTGTTACACTCAAAAATGAGATCCTCGATTTTCTAGGATGGCCCTACTACATCTTAGAAAAATTGACTATTTTATACGCAATGTTCAACTTTATTGGATTTCTTTTCTCACTCTTAAAAGGAATCTACAATACATGTGCTATACACACACAAGTAAACAGACAAGCAAGCGTAGCACGCATACTCTTTGCAGGATTTTTTGGAATTTTTTCCACATCTATAAACAAAATTCTTTTAGACGCACAAATAAAAGAAAATAACACAAAAATAACAACACGACAAAATACATACGACGAAGAACATAACAATGTCGACACACAGCCAACGGCACCACAATTACCACCCCTACCAAATAACCATCCACTATCCCTAGTCCCACGAAATTTTCGAAATTTAGCCATCACACATAATCCCAATTTTAGACTCAATACATCGCAAAGTCCCGTCCAACATATAATAACACATCAATCACAAGATGATAATACTTATGAACAAATTATTGAACAACCCCATACCACCGCTTTTCAATCTCAAAATAATAATTTTTTTAGCCCACGATGAGCCGCCAACTTGGATCACTCCATCGATCAAATTCCCATCCAACCAACCTTCCTTCTTCAATCCCAATAATACCACTTTTTGCTTTTCCGCCACCCGATTTTCCATCTAGCAATGTAACATCAGGCATGAATTCCGACACTAACTCACAAATTTCAGTTTTATACTCCATCTCACAGCTAAATAACCCGAATATTGAAACCCCCGATGAATTTGCCGACTCAGAACCATCTCCATCCAATAATTTTCATAACCCTTCTCATTTTTCTCAACCTCCTTTTCAACCCATATTGTCAAATAACCCTGACCCGATCACTCCCACACCCTCTTATGCTTCCCAAGTTACCCCAACCTATTCCTCATACCATTCTGACCAATCATCTCCAGACACCCCCCGAATCTCCCCAGAGCTAGACAATTTTATTACCCTCCAACAACAACCCTACCACCTTAACACCCCGACCATAAACCAAATCTCCTCCACTACCAATTCATCCAATCCCCCTACACCCTCTTCAAATTATACTGAATCATTAGCACCATCATCCACATCAACTGAATCCTCACTCAACACTAATAGAGCTTACCGCACTTTTAAAAGAAAGTTCCCCAACCATCCTTTCCCAGCAAAACCAGGAACAGCCCGTGAATACATCAACCACCCCCAGCATACTAACACCAAAGAATTTTTAGCTATCACTTTACCCTCATTTCCACAATACACCTTAAACACCCCTCATGACGCTAACGAAACACGCAACTTTGTAGACGAATACGTTTTAATGCCCACTCTCTCTTGGACCTCATACTATCATTTCACTAACCCTCTTTGCTTACCTTTAACCAACACTTCCATCGATATAGACCGAAACAAAGACATGCTATATCGACTAACTACACCACTCACCGCTAGACAATTTACTTACGTAGGATATAAAAAATCACTAAAAATACACACTGCACCTAGAGCTAATGAATATACACTAGAATACTACGATCACAACATCATCAGAGCTAACCAAGATCAATTCTTAGACGACGATCGCTTCGCTAATCCACAAATCACCGAGAAATTTTTCATCAAGACACCATATGTATTTACACTAAATATTTTCGACCGAAAGTTTGATCACATTATTTCAGAAGCACTAACAAACACACAAGCATACGAAAGTTTTAAAGAACGCTTCCAAATCTTTTCACTAACCTTTCATTTTCTTGCACCACACGAAAGAGATTTGCACTGCTCACATGATATTATGTTGCGCACTAAACAAACACATACATACAGTTACTATCGTTTCATCCAAAATCACTTTGACCTCCACACACCCTCTAGACAACCACACCATCGCTTTCAATTCATCAATTCAAAATACACTTCACCGTATTTCCTAAATTTCACATATTGTATTAAAGATACTAACCTCCATGGTATTCTCCGTAACTATGACCCCATAACCCAAATGTACATTTTCTGCCCCATCACCAAGACCTTCAACGCCGAAGAATCCCGACCCTTCCTTATCCCGCACGAGTTCCTACAACCTATAGAAATCCCAATTCTAGAATTCATCCACAATACTAAATTTAACCACAAATTATATAACTTAATCCAAAACACACCTTATGAGTTTGCAGTAGGCACTGAAGAACTAACCACCATTAAGGCACTTCAATTGCTTTGGCCACTGCTTCAAACTAAAAATATCATCCGCATCTTAGCTAAACTACTAACAACTTCAGAACTAATTCACGATATCTTCCCCCACGGTTTTTTCCCCGACGACTAACAGGTAAGTATGAATTAAATGAATATTACTAACTAATTAAAATATTAAAAAACTCACCATTCTTTATTCATGTTTTCTTTAGATTTTTAGCCTTCATCTTCGATCATCTGAAAAATTCACAAAAGAAAAATAAAAAATAGCAAACTTCTTCAAAACTGTTTAAGACCCTTTTAACTTTTGCACCAACAATTAAATAAATATAATACCAATGCAGTAAATTAATTTATAAAATTTTCCCCCAAAGCAGTAATTCTACATATGATGAAAATTTGTATCTTAAAATTCCCCCATTACTAGCAGTAAATTTCCAAATTCTATGCAGTAAATTAATAAAATGCAATTGCAGTACTAACCTTTTGATATTTTCATTCATTCGCACAGAAATTCTATCCACACTCGCACAGCTCGCCCACGAAGAATTGTTTAAAATAATGAATTTCAGTTTCAAGTTTTCACACTCAACAACTCTAACATATAATAACAAGTTTCAAACTTTCCTTTAACCCGGTTGGAAAGGAATCATATACTAAACAAAACTAACCAACGCAGCTTACTAAATACCACAAATCATAAAATAACAGCATGACTAAGAAAAGGAAACCAACGGTACCCAAACCGGATTAACCCAGTTTAAAACTGGATAATTTATTCTTTTGAAGACTATTACAAAGTCTTAGAAAGAAATAATAAAACACAAAAAAGTCAAAAGACAAACCCATACCACAAACAATTTGCTTTTTAGTAAAAGTACATAACCAACAAAACATAAGTAAAACCACAACAAACCCAACATAAAATGTTATCACATAACAGGACCCCTCATAAAAACCGCATGAAATCATACTCCCACACCTGGCCTAACCCACCAGGAAAGGACGTCCTGAGCATGCTCTATAGCCGGCCTAACCCACCGTGCTACATCCACGCTTTGTGACCACACCTTTATTTTTAATAAGAGCTACTCAAGGGTGAGTAACTCTTCAAAATAACCGAACTAAAACAAAAAGCTTTTGTGAAAACAACTAACAAAAATCATTATTAAAAAATACTAAATTAATAAAAGATTTATAAAATGTAAAATTACATGATGCAATATATAGATCAGAATACAACACCAAGGACGAACATCAAAAGACAAGACGACCTCACTACACTCGAGAGAGAATGACCAACTACAATCGATATGCCGCTCACAATCACAACTCAAAGGATTTAGAGTACGACTTGACTTCGCAGAAAAGGACTTCATTGAACTAGACCAATGACCACCTCGATGTTCAAGTATACGTACAGATCCGAGTAACCAGGCATCCCCTCCACGCACAATCTCCACGCCATTCCCGAGCTAGATCAAACACAAAAGAAGTTCTTTCCGAAGAACAGAAAAACCTGACATAGCCAACCATTCTGAAACCAGAATTGATGCTGTTGCAGAGACTCAGTCGTTGTCACAAGAAGAACACAACGTCTTGTGTCCTCAATTCCAGATCCCTGGAACTTCCTTAACAAAAAGGAAACAAAAGAAAAATGATGTTCGCCAAATACCAACGTCCATCATCCATCCTTGAATTACAGAAGAACTGTTCTAAAAAACTCTGTAAAACCCGGATGGGTGGAACCTGATCTAAACTATATTTTATGATTGGATAAATTAAATGTTTTACCAATGTAAAGTATTTAATATTAACCAATCATGATCCATCTAACTAACAACCCACTTATTTGTAAGTGCTGAAGTTACTTGTAATTTCAGCACCAGAGAGATTTGAATTTAACTTAGAAATTAGTTGGACTCTCCCGAGCACTTCAGCAGCCGCAATAAACCCGTATACCCTAGATCTATTGAGCCTAGCAGAGACTAGTTAAACAACCTGAGACTAGATAGTATAAGAGTAAGATTAGGATCGGTATTAGACTAAGAAGTTGCACGAATCTATACGGCCGAAAATAAGATAGCGTGACGAGCAGACGGTGTACCCTATCCGAAATTACTCTATGAGTTACACCTCGGTCCTAACTCATAACCCTACTCAAAAATTGCTCAAAATAAAATGAAGCAGTTTAATTGGTCTTTGTAAAACACTACTAGACGCTAATTGAAACACTTTTTAGCTTAAATATCTGGCAGAGGAGCTGAAAAATTTCATGGTTTCCAAAAGTTATTAATACTATTACATAGACGCTAAAGGGCACTCAAAACCTTTAGGGTTTTGACCATTCTTGTTTGATTTGAAATTATGTTTTGTAGATTAACTAGATTTTAATCACATAACATTGAAAAGTTAGTATAGAACAACTGTTTTTTGCACTTTAGAAACTCAACAGGAAAAACAAACCAAGAACTCAACGGAAAGATGGAACTGAACACCATTTCACAGTGAGTTCATTTCCAATAATGATCAACAGCTTTTACTGTTTTTGCCCTTTTTGCTGCGAACTTTGACTCGTCATGAAATTAAATGTTTAAGACAGTGGTGGCGTGATCAAGAATATTCCGAAGAGCTACGGTTTTGCTTTTTTAAATAGTTTGAACCCCTTTATTTAGATATGCCTTTTTAGGTCAAATAAAAGGCAGCCTTTCCTAATGCCGTAGAGAACCTATTTTGTCAAAGTATTGAGCGCCACAGACAAAATTTTGAAAAAGCAGGCCAACATGACATTTTAGAGCCCATGTTGAATGAACGTTGTTTTTGGCAAAAAACAATCGCGTTTTTTAACCGCGGCTTACGGTCAGGTCAACCAAACAAGGATGTTAGAAACCAGTGGCAAATGGAGG